ACTTGCTGCTCTTTTTGCTCTGTAGTATTTGGCTGCAGTTATGTCTGTTAACACAGTTGGTATCTTGACTTTCTCCTTTATTCATTCTTCTGAATACAAACATTCAGTTTCTTGTAAATTCAGAACATGAAGAAGTAGGTACAACTCTGTGTGTGTGTGTGTGTGTGTGTGTGTGTGTGTGTGTGTGTAGGGCAGAGTAGCCTCTCAAAGTGGCAACAGACAGTGCCTCAGTGCCAGCTTATACAGATCAGTGGCTTCAAAATACCACATTCTGTGGCTGACCTCCAAAGTGCCGTTTTGAAAAATTATATTGGCACAAAGAAGATGGTTCAAATAAGATGCAGCCTACACTAGAGATCAGGAGCAAAGACTGATAAGACAGATGACTTACTGATTGTGCAGGTCTGGGCCAGTTTCTTAAGCATCAGTTTCATCATCTGTGAAGAGGATGAATTGTATCCACTTTATATATTTACTGTGAGTACCAAATAAGCAAATGCAGAAAATGTGCTTAGCAGAATAGCAGTGATTGTTTTGACTATAAACACCTCTTCCTATTTTCTCTCCTTTATTTAGACATTTCCTGCCTTCATGTATTTTCAGCATAATTTTCCTTTTGGAGACACCTAAAGACCAAGTTTGCAAAAAAGAAAACAACTCAATGTGTTAAAGGATATAGATGGGAATAATATATAACTATAAAATATATACTATTCAATATGAATAGTATACGTAGCATATATTATATTATAATATATATATTAGAAAAAGATTTATGTGCTGTCCTACACTAGCTTGGATGCTAAGTTAGGGTCCTGGGATACTGGAAAGGAACTCAGCCAAGTACTTAATGGTGAGGTAAATGTCAAGCAGTCAGCCTGCAATGAATCGGGCGATGCATACAGCTCCACTTGGCTATAAAAATGCCAACATTCCTGAAACAGTGAGCTCATCACCAAATTCTTCCTTCCACACCCAGGAAAGAATCTATGACTTTTTTTGCTCATTTTTTGCTTTGGTTTTCTAAGCAGCTGAGGATGAAATGGAGCAATGGTTCTTAAATTGTTAAAACAGATACCTTGTCCAAACAGATTCCAAATCCCCCGCCCATGGTTGCTAACTGAGTTAGAAGCGCATAGGCTCTGAGAAAAGTTCCAGTTGATTATGATGGGATTGGTTCAGGAACCTATGATTACTGTGGGATAGTGATACTTAGCTAAAGTCACAAACACATCTTAACCTTCACAAGGCACATTGTCATTATCATGGCCTATAAAGCATGGACTCTACAAACTTGCACAGTACAGCTATTTCTTCCAAATTGGGTGATATATACATTTCTTTCCTTTTGCTTAGTGTAAGCTGTTCCCTCTTTCCCTCTCATTCCCTCCCTCCCATCGCTGCCCTTGAGTTGCTTAGTTCACTTTCATCAATGTCCAGTGCAGCTGATGGGCCCCTTTGTTGTATTTTTTCCAGTTTCCCTCTGATTCTGTGCCCTCCTCCTAGCTTCCCTCAGATGTGCATATGTATATACCATAGGTGAGGTCAAAAGCATACAGTCATGTAAAAATGATATGACAAATTGAGAAGAGGTCCTTTGTTCCCTGCGTCCTGTTTACTTTGTCATATCTCATTGCATTTTGAATTTAACATCTGCCTATCAGGGAGACCATGTGCCATTTGTCTCTTTGATCTTGGCTTATTTCACTCAACATGATTTCCTTCCATTTTAAACATGGAAATACTTAATCACTTTGTTGTCTTTTGCATGTATTAGAGTAAAATAATTCTATTAATTATTTTTATGGTAAGATCTTTTCTAAACTATATTGATATTTCTCACAGACATTGGCAACTAAGTCTATTTAATGAATACTGTCATACTGTTCATTTAAATAACTGAAGTAATTTTAAATATTTCACTAGACCTCTACTTCAGAACTTTCATATGCTGGGCTAGATCTACAGCTCAATAGTGAAATAGTTTGCCTGCTATTCATTCAGTCCTGGGTTTGATTCCTACCATCACAAAACAAATAACTAAATAAGATACAATAAAAAATAAACTCCCATTTTCCTCTTTCAAGTTGGTATATGGCTGGGTGGGGGGTAATGCATGTGTGTAGTTTTCTTCTGCTTTCAATTGAACAAGTTGTTTCTCTTTATCTAACTCTTGTTAGACAGAAAATTGCATAATGGGTCAGGAATTTCATCCTGATTTAATTTGCACACTAGAATAACAGCGTATTTTGATTCGTAGGTGTCAGAGGGCAGTGTAAAGGTCATGGCTAGAATGCAAACCCCGGGCTTTCATAACCCATGAATAATCAGAATCTGAGCACAATTTTAGTTTCTTATGTTCAGAATCAGCTGAGGCAAACATCTGCATAGTATAGAATCATGTGGAGAGCTCCTAAAATGTGTAGAATCCAGACGCTGGTCTATAAGAATATGATTCAAAGTGTATCCTATTCTGGGTAGGACCTGTCATGCATTTTATAGTATTGCTCTAGAAGGGGCTGAGCCTATATTTCAAGAAACATCGAGTGGACTAAAACTGTCTACACTGGATTAAATTCAGACTCTGCTGGTTAACTAGCTGTGTGGACTTGGAACAAATTCTCCAATCTTAAACTGATGTGCTGTTTACATGAAAGACTTACTGTATGTATCCGGGGCTTCTGTGTTTCTGTAGTTAATGTGTAAAGTGTCTGATACAGTACTGGCCTTGAAGCATGAAATGTTTAACAGTGATCCTTTTAGAATGCCAGAGATGGACAATGGATACATAAAAGAAACATAAAAGCTCGTAGGTAGAGAGAATTTAAATGAAGCCAGCTGGCTCTGCAATTTTTTAAAAATATTTATTAAGCAGTGGAGCTAGAAAATTCTCCAAAGATTATGCTAAAGCGGTTGATTTCTTATTGGTGTCTTTTGATCTTGTACATGCATCACTAGTTTCTAATGTGATATAATGTTTTTAAGATTTAAAACTGTTTTGAGTACTTTAAGAGTAAACAAATGGGGCTGGGAAGGTGGCTCAGTGGTAGAGCGCTTGCCTTGCATGCATGAGGCCCTGGGTTCGATTCCTCAGCACCACATAAGCAAAAAGAAAAAAGCCGGAAGTGGCGCTGTGGCTCAAGTGGTAGAGCACTAGCCTTGAGCTAAAGAGCTGAGGGACAGCGCCCAGGCCCAGAGTTCAGGCCGCACGACTGGACCCCCCCAAAAAAAGATTAAACAAATGTTTGACTATAGTGAAATAAATTGTTCAATGCAAACTACTGAAATAATACACCATCATTTTTACTGAACCAGACCATTAATTTCCCATTCACTTTAATTTGACAAGACAATGTCCTTTCATAAAAATATTAAACACTTCAGAAGAGCCTAAATGAAGGCAAATTCATACAAGACAGTGAGCCAACATAATTCAGTAACTGCATAGGAAAATCCTATCTGAACAAAAATAATATTCCTATAAAGACAAACTTTTTCTCAAAGGGTTAAAAATATACCAGGTAAGTACATGTATACATTGATTTTTCTCACCACCTTTCTGACTGCCCTTCTAATAGTTTCTTAAGCAATTTTAGAATACTTTGTTGTTTTGGTAGTACAATCTTTCTCAGCTCTTCTGACATGTTTCTAATTTATGTGCTTAAAATTAGTAGCATGGCATTTTTTATTTGCATGCTTTTCCTGAAGATCTACGATGTCAGTGAAGCTTTGAAAAAGGAATTTATCAGGCACAATTGCATATGCATTAAACAAAGAGTAAGAACAGACAATCCTAATAGGGTTTTCATTTATGGATCCTTTAGTGTAGGATTCCCCAAGGATGGTGTTGAACATTAATTAAACGTCTTGAAGTCTGCAAACCACAATTACTTCTGTGTGTGGTTTAGTAAAAAGCCTTGAATAATCACCAAGAACAAAGGGAATGCCAAAATTTCAGCTTTCTTGTTGTTTTTATGTAGACGCTACTGTAAAGCAAGTCTTCACTCATCAGGATTGACCCAAGTCAGGCTGAGCTCTGATGATCAAGGTTTGAAGGTAGCTCAGGCAGATAAATCATTGAGATTCTTACTTCCAACTATCCAGCAAAAAGCCTGAGGTAGAAAAACCCAAGGAAAAGTGTGAAGTCCTGAGTTTAAAATCCCAGGGCCTGCACCAAAAAAAAAAAAAGATTGACCAAAAAATTGACTCAAGTTATTGCTCTACAGAACAATGATTTATGTTTTTGATTGATACACAAAAGAAAAAAAAGAGAGGCTTTATGACGCATTTGATAGACGTTATAATATCTGCAGGTGTCAGGAGAAGAGACTCTTGAGACACCAAAACATGTACAAATTATGCATCTGTCACATGTCCTCACAAGCATCTAAAAATATATATATGGATAAGCCATCCTTTGATACCTTTAGCATCTTAAACACAGTATACAGTTGTTTCAATCATCCATTCCAGTGTTCCATCAGCGCACTACTTTCTGTTTAGTAAGGTATGTGAAAGGTTCACATAATCATTTGTCCTAGCTCATTGTAGCACTGCATGCTCAGAAAAATGAGTTTCATCATCAAATAAAATGCAAGCACAAGGACCAAATGGAAATAATATGTTGTGCTCTGTGCCATGAAAATATGTCTTTAAAAGCACATTTGCTCCAGGTACTTGATATACAAATCCAGTTCTGATGGAATACCACCCAGCATTGTGGGTTGTGTGTGAATGTCACATACTAATGCCATCTTGTAGGAAGGCAACCTGGGGTTATGCTCCATCTCATGCTCCTGTTGACAAACAGAGCAATTATTTAGTGACATTGTGAGTCTCTAAAGACAATAAAATTTTAAAACAGAGCATTTTTTCAAAATTTCAAGAACTTGACCACACACAAAAAATATGTAATTATTTTTAAAGACTATGCATATTTAATGTGAATAAAGTTATCATTTGGAACTAGTGTGATTTCTTTTTCAATTATTTCCTCCTAGGTTGGGCACCGAGGAACCATTCGAGACTATCCAGGCTTTAGCCCATCTGTGGATGCTGAAGCTGTTCGTAAGGCAATCAGAGGAATTGGTGAGTGATAGACTGGGATTCCTTTTTCATATTGGAGAAAATAGGAAAGTCACCCTCTGTATGTACCTGAAGTTGTTCTGCCCAAATTAGCCTGCTCAATTAGAGAAATTGTCAGGACTTTTTTCAAAGTGTAAACCAATGAGAACAATATAAAAAAAACTAGTTGTATTAAATATAATATTTGACATATTGTCTTCATGTTAAACACTACTATCTCCACTGATGATACCAACAATCATTACCATGATAATCACCATCATCATCATCATGATCATCACTATTACCATCATTGTCACCATGACAGCTATCCTGATCGCCATCACCACCACCACCACCATCATAATCCATCGTTCCAGATAGAATACTTGTCATTTCTCTTTAGATTTCATTCCCACCCACTGCCTAGAGAAAAATCACCATCCTAAATTAGTATTTATTCCCATGAACCTGTCAGAACCAGAACTACATATTCATTTGCATAGCCTCAGCCAGTATAAAATGGAATTATACTATACATTCTTCTGCCATTTGTTTTTATCCTTGAACATAATGTCTTTGAGATTTATCCATGTTGACATGTTTAGCTCTAGTCCATTAATTTTAACTGCATAGTAGTCTATTGCATACTGCATCATAAAGTGGGAACATTGATGAAACATTTAAATTGCCTACAATTCTTTTCTATTACAATATAAAAATACTGCAGTGAATATTCCTGCTAATGTTTCATTGTGCACATTTGCCAGCATTTCTGCCAGAATATGACAAGAAGTGGAATTTCCCAGTGGAAGGGGAAGCTTATTTTCAAATTCACTAAAATTTTGCCCAACTGCTCTACAAAAATGGAAATTGGCATTCCTTCCGGCAATGTAGGGGACTTCTCCTACTCTGTATGTTCCATATACTTGCTCAGATTTTCCAATTGACTAGATCTAAAATTGTCTCTCAGACTCTGTATATTTTTTGCTCTTTCTTCTTCTGTATCCCTGACTAGTGATGTAGTTAAGTATCCTTATGTATTTGCTTCCTCTTTCGGTGTATATTACTTAATCTGCTTCATGTATTTTGTCCTTTATTATTCCAACAGGGTTGTCTTCTTCATGATTGGGAAGAGGGGGTTTGTCTGTTTGTTTTGTCTTTTCACTAATTTCTGCATACAAATCTCTTTTATAATTTCAATCCATGGAGAGATCTTCTCCAAGTTTTTGTTTTAACATCTAAAGAATTGGCCCAGTTACCTTTTACTTACAAACAGGTGGTTACATATATAAGTGTGAACGCTAGAGAGATGTGGACCTGAGATAGGCATATATATCTGAGGCTCAGAAATTTGGGTCACTTAGAAGCCATGTGATATTAGCAAGTGAAACAAGCTCTCTAAGGGTTAATGATTTCATCTTTAGAACAGGTTAGTTCTGTCTGATGCTAGAGGCCCTGTACTTATTAGCTATAATAGAAAAGAAAAAGATGCCCACATAGTAGGTTCTTACTAAATATGAGGTCCTGTTATCTTGAGGGAAAAAGATCTGGATGTCAGGAATAGGGATAAAACCACATGGTGGCTCACACCTGTAGTTGTAGCTATTCGGGAAGCTAAGAGGAGGAGGATCATGGTTCAAGACCAGAATAGGCAAAAGGTTCACAAGATTTCATGTCAACTAATAAAAAGTTGCATGTGATTGTTATGCATCTGTCTTATGAGGTACTCCAGAAGCATAAACAGAAAAATTGCAGGACAATATTGGCAAAAACCAAGACCCAAGCTGGGTGCTGGTGGCTCATGCCTGTAATCCTAGCTACTCAGGAGGCTGAGATCTGAGGATCACGGTTCAAAGCCAGCCCGGGCAGGAAAGTCTGTAAGATTCATCTCCAATAAACTAGAAGTAGTGCTGTGGCTCAAGTGGTAGAGTACTAGCCTTGAGCTGAAGAACTGAGGGACAGTGCCCAGGCCCAGAGTTCAAACTCCATGACTGACAAAACAAAACACCAAGACCTAATTTTAAAAATATAACAAAAACAGAAAGGGCTGTGTGTGGCTCAAGTAGCAAAGCACCTGCCTGACAAGCAAAAGACCCTGAGTTCAAATCTGAGGACTGAATTATAAAACAAAAAAAACAAAACAAAAAAACAGAAAGAATAAGCTGGGCGCTGGTGGCTCACGCCTGTAATCCTAGCTACTCAGGAGGCTGAGATCTGAGGATCGCGGTTCAAAGCCAGCCCGGGCAGGAGAGACCTTGAGACTCCTATCTCCAATAAACCACCAGAAAACCGGAAGTGGCGCTGTAGCTCAAGTGGTAGAGCGCTCGCCTTGAGCTGAAGAGCTGAGGGACAGCACCCAGGCCAAGAGTTCAAGCCCCAAGACCGACAAAAAAAAAAAAAAAAACAGAAAGAATATAGGTAATAGGTAAGAGGCAGTAGTAAGACATTCCTGAACCTCATAAGGTGAAGCAGAAAGTTCTTTGTGTTCCTCTCTATGTCAGTTCTATACAAAGGAGGAGTTTGTTCTGTTCTCAACAAAAAAAAAAAAAAGGTAAAGTTTTGATTTCCTTTTCCAACCTAATGAGAAGTTGGAAATTAAAAATTAAAATCCCTACATTTCTGCATTGGCATTTTTTGTGGTTGTTGTTCAGTACAGAAACTGGCATTGCTGGGTTAATGATGAATAAAATATTTTTTGTTTCACTTAGGAACGGATGAGAAAACGCTCATCAGCATTCTAACTGAGAGATCAAATGCACAGCGACAACTGATTGCCAAGGAATACCAAACAGCGTATGAGAAGGTATGGTGCAGTTTAACAGGATGGGTAGTCAAGTCCCTATTATGCCATGGCCACTGTTACATGACTATGGCCTTAGAGCTGTAGCTTCAGGTCACTGGGACAGATGACACCTGTGTATCCAGCCGTGGATCTGGAATCCTACTCCTGGTTTGCCCTCTAACTGGCTGAATACACTTGGGTTTCTGTTTCTGTAGAATACAGAAAGTTGCCTTAAGTCAGTCATCCTAAATCAGGAATGAGTTTGCTCCCCCCTGGACCCTTAGCTTGAATGGAGAAATTTTGGTGATCATAAATAAGATGGGGGAGGGTTAGAATCATTTGTAGTCTCTAGTGGGTGGTGGTCAGGGATGCAGCTAAACATTGTCCACAGCACAGGACAGCCTGACAGCTTGACCTGATAAATCCTTTCTCACATGATCCTTAAATTTTGTCTAATGTTAATGGAGTTATGGGAGCACACCTTTAATCCCAGCTGCCTGTGAGGTAGAGACAGGAGGATCATGGTTTGAGGCCAGTCCAGGCAGTAAGCTCAAGATCTTAACTCCAAAACACACAAAAGCAAAAGGATTTGGGTGATTCTAGTGTTAGAGTAAGACCCTGAGTGTCATCGGGGAGGGAGAGGAGAAAACAAGGAAGGGAAGGAGGGAAGAAGGAAGGAAGCAAATTATGTAATTATAGGATTTGTCATTCAAAGGAAAAGCACTAATCACATAAGAACAAATAAGACTTGGTCTTACACAAGTTGTTCAGTCATCAGGTATTTGTTATGTACTATGTCAGGAGCCATCTGAGACCCTGGAGATTCAGTAGTATATAAAGCAGTTTCTCTGTTCCCCCGTGGTACTAAACTACTATTAGCAAACTAATCATTTTTTAAAAGCCCAGATATTGAAAAGTGTTATGAACATGAGGTGATCCGGCTAGAAGCTGACTGGTCACTGATCCTTGGGAAGATGATGAAGAGGTGTTAGTGACAGGTTGCTGGCTGACCCTGAGCTAAGAGTAAACAATACTAGATTCTCCTGTGCTAGTCTGGGCATGAAGAGCAATGCTGCTGTCACAGGGTAGAGAAAATGCAAATGTCCTGCAGCGGTAAGCAGCTGGGCATACAAAAGAGACAGCATTCCAATATGACACAATGTGGACGTGAATGGAGCAAAGGCAGGGGATGCGCTAGAGGATTCTGGGCCTTGTGTCTTTTTATTTTTGAGATAGGGTTTTGCTATGTTGTCCAGGCTTGCTCAAATGATCCTCCCACTTCAGTCTTCCAAGTATGTGAGACAACAGTAGGTTTTATTCATTATGAAACATTTTCTCGTTATATTGTCCATTGTGACCTCAAATTCCTGGATTCAATTGCTCGTTCTACCTTCTCCAACAAATGCTGGGACTACAGGTATGTGCCATGGTGATCATCTTGGGCTTTGGGTCTTGGTACAGAGTGTAGACTTATTGGAAATTTGCAAGCAGGACAATACAATGTGATTTTTTATTTGTAAAATATTATTACAGTGATTAGGATTTTGCTCAGTGTTCCTGGTAAGATATATTTTAAGATACTTTTCTAGCATGTTTGAAGCCTTACTTGATGGAACATAAATTCCATCTGACAAGAGAGGTAAGGAGCTAAGGATTATATCCAACTTACCTTTGAGAAGCAGGTGCCTATAATTATGTGTTGAATTGACCAAGCTGGGCAACACATTCACTTATAGGGGACATGAATAATCCATTAACCTCCATGATCAGGGGCTGCAAAATAAAAAGAGGAAGAAAGTTCAATGTAAAGGGTCAGAACCATTTCTCATGGTGGGATAGAATAAGAACATGTGAAATAAGATGCAAAGTCTTGGAGACAGATGATAGTGCAGTTTAGCATGTAAAGAGGGAATAAACACTGTAGTGATTGAAGCAGAGCTACCAACACTTGGCTGGGTTCATTTGACCCTGCTGTAGCCCTAATGGTGTGTGTGGGGGGGTCTGTGTCAGCATGGCACTGTGGGAGGCTGGCAGCCTCAGCATCAGGGTTGAACATAATCAGGGCTAGGGGAAAAAAGTATTATTCAGTATCATCCCTTTAACTATTGGTAATAGAAACCATGTTACCTAGCTGAAGGCTGAAGAGATGATCTGTGCGTAGGTAATATAAACACAATTCCTAAGTACAATGCCAATAAGGACTCCCTCCCACTGTTGCATCTAGGGCTGCCTTGGCAGTTATTACCAAAAATCTGCTTCCCACATCTCCTAGTTCATCACTCTCACCAGAGAAAAGTGACCAGCCACTGTCCTACCGTCTTCTTGCATTTTGGAGTTCACTGGAGTCTCTCAGAAGCAGGATACCCAGCAATCCAGCAGCTATAGGGGTGCTGGGTATGAATTGTACAGTTCCTCCCTCCTCTTCTTCTTCCCTAGTCACCGCCCAACTGAGGCAAAAGAAGGAAAGATTAGGCAGACAGAGAGAGAAGGAGATAATGTCCTCTCTTCTTCTTAAGAGTGGGAGACACCCCTCTCCCTGAAGACCCTAGGAAAACCAGAATAAGCTCTGAGAAAAGCCACACCCCTGAGGACCCTGGATCAGCCTCACACATAAGACTGGCACCCTCCCTTGGGGTGAGAGGGGCATTGGCTCAGCCAGATGCCAGAATAGTGGAAACTCACACAAAAGGGCCATAAAAGAGGGACCCCCTATGAGTCTGCATCAGGTTGCTGATTTCTTGCCTACTTCTCACTCTCTTGCCCCAAGAACTCTGCAGTCTCTCCCCCCCGCCCCGCACCTCTTCCTTGCCCAGGAAGAAAGTAGACAAGATCTCATATGGCAGAAAGCCACCCTCCCAGCAAGCAGGCTTGGTTGGTTGTATCAACCCACCCATAGCTAAGTGGCTTTCTTCAATTTCCCTGGATCCTTAATCTCACTTTCAAATACACTGTGGCTCTGCTCCCACTTTTCCTGACTTGTAATTCTTTATTGGGTGAAGGAATCCTTAGAGAATGTCATAATCATTGAGAATGCAGGAAATGTGATTTTTAATGCTTTTATTAGTTATGATATTAATTTTGTGTACATGTGGTATACAATGTGGTAATTTGATAGATATATACTGATCAAATTGGGGTAGGGGAAATTTTAATATACTCTTCTGACACCATGATGCTCATACAGAAATCCTTCCCTTCTTCCCTCCCTCCCTCTCTGTCTCTGTCTGTTTATCTCTATCTCTTTCTTATGTCTGGTCCTGGGGCTTGAACTCAGGGCCTGGGCACTGCCCCTGAGCCTTTCCTGTTCAAGGCTAGTATTCTACCACTTGAACCACAGCTCCACTTCTGGCTTTTTTTGGTGGTTAATTAGAGATAAGACCTTACGGACTTTTCTGCCCAGGCTGACTTCAAACTGCAATCCTCAGATATCAGCTTTCTGAATAGCTAAGATCACAGGCATGAGCCACTGATACCCAGCTCTTTTGATTTTCTTTTAAAAAATCCTCTCTAAAACAACATTTTAGAAGTAATCATAAAATATAGATTCATATCCAAGAAATGCTTTCGACATCTCTGTTTATTTCTGTGGATGGGTATATTTTCATTTGATTTTGGTACTTAGGCTCATCATTCACGAGAAGAATATAGAGAAACGTATTTCACAACTTCCTCCTTGGGGTTTTATTTTAGGAGCTGAAAGATGATTTGAAGGGCGATCTCTCTGGCAACTTTAAATATATCATGGTGGCTCTTGTAACTCCACCAGCCGTGTTTGATGCGAAGCAGCTAAAGAAATCTATGAAGGTATGAGCCCTGAACAGGCTGGTCCTCCCTTGGATTTGACTGTAATCAAAAACAGGAGCTCTCTTCCAGTCATGCTCAGTGGACTTGGGTGCCATTTTGGTCATGTTCTTCTGTGGTAGGATGAACCTGAAAAGGGACAGCTGTGGAAGTTTTAGCTCAGATATTTCTGGGTTAAAATGATATTTCAGATCTTTAATTTGCTTTCTTTTTCTTTTTTAATTTAATTTTAATGTAAAGGTCATGTACAGAGGGGTTACAGTTATATAAGTAAGGTGGTGAGTACATTTCTTGTTGAACATTGTTACCCCCTCCCTCGTTTTCTCTCACTTTCTCTCTCTCTCTCTCTCTCTCTCTCTCTCTCTCTCTCTCTCTCTCTCTCTCTCTCTCGTATGTGTGTGTGTGTGTGTGTGTGTGTGTGTGTCTGCCAGTCCTAGGGCTTGAACACAGGGCTTAGGAACTGGCCCTGAGCTTTTTTTTTGTTTTTGTTTTTTTTTGCTTAAGGCTAGTGCTCTACCAATTGACCAACAGCTTCACTTCTGGCATTTTTGATAATAAATTGAAGATAAGAGTTGCACAGACTTTCCAGCGCAAGTCAACTTTAAACGGCCAACCTCAGATCTCAGCCCCCTGAGTAGCTAGGAGTACAGGCATGACTCATCATACGTGGCTCGTGTGCTTTTATTTATTTTTTGGGGGGGGTCCGGTCATGGGGCCTGAACTCTGGGCCTGGGCACTGCCCCTCAGCTCTTCAGCTCAAGGCTAGAGCTCTACCATTTGAGCCACAGTACCACTCCTGGCTTTTTACTTTTTGCTTATGTGGTGCTGAGAAATCGAACCCAGGGTCTCATGCATGCAAGGCAAGCTCTCTACCACTGAGCCATCTTCCCAGCCCCTACTTGTTTGCTTTTTTAACAGGACCAAATTCTCTATTGGGTCATTATTGAAAGTGAATAGCACCATCCTAGCCCCCTTGCTTAGGCTGAAAGCCTCATTTAACCTGTCAGTCCATTAGCTGTACCCCAAAACCAACTGCTCCCACTCTACTGTGATGCTCATACCAATATCTAGAAGTATGGTAGTGCATCCTTGGTGCTTTTGTTCACCTCGATGTAAATGTAGTAGAGAAGCTATAGGTCAACCCTAAAGCTAAGCACTATTCTGGAGTTTTAAGCATAGATAGCCAAACTCTGGCATTCTTTTCAGACTACTGACCTTGTGTCACCCCCACCATGTGTCCTATGTACTGAACAACTTCCAGCATCACCAATGTCACCACAAAATGGTCCCCATTGCTTCACTGTTTCTTTGGAGTGACATCATTCAGATACTTGGTAGCTTTCCAGACATATGCCTACAAAATGAGAGCCATGGCTATTGTTAAAGTAAACCCAAAAGACTTGAACCTCTTAATCTATATGGCTGTGTGGGTTTTCTGGGTCAAGTAATAGCAAACTCTTTCACAGATCATGTCAGGTCACTTAAAGGAAGAGCCAGACATTTTTCTTGTTTCTTCTGTTTTGTGCTGTTGGGAAGGAACCTATAGCCTTGCAAATGGTAGGCAAGCAGAAGCACTCTACCACAGAACTATATCCTCAGTCCAATTCTTATGTTTTTAAATTATATATAAAATAGTCTTTGGGTTTTTTTCTTTTTCTTTACATTTTTTGCCCATTTATTTACTTGCTTTTAAAACAATCTGACTAAAAAGGAAACCTCCATCCCATTCTGCACATTCTGATGCTAGAACTGGATCTTAAATGAAGTTAGTTTATAACATCTTTATTGGGAGGAAGGTGGGAGAGGAGGTATATAGGTTTGAGCTATAAGCCAGATTCTATTTGCCCCACAATCAGAAATAGGAATCATTTTATCGATTATGGAAAAAGCATGGCAAAACTGATTCAAATGTACAAGAGATGTGCTGTGAGAAACACCAGTGAAGATCAAAGAGGACACAGCACGGAAGGTGGATGAGCTTCAGACTACACGACAAGTCTGACATCTAGGAGAGAGGAGAAAGAACAAGCAGATTCAGATAGGAAAAGCCTCAGTGAACAGAGCAGCTCCGAGAAAGGCTTGCCAGGCTGACGGCTGTTCATGAGTGGTATTGGTCCTTCTGTGCTGGGCAGAAATAGCCTACCTCCAAGAACTCTGCTGTACTCACTCATTAGCCAGGAGCATCCTGGGCAGAGAAGATCCTCAGTGGAGTTGAGCAGATCTGAAGGTGTACCAGTCAGAAGCTGTTGATCAACTACATTCTTGGAAGCAGGTAGTCTTGAAGTAAAATGTGCACACCATGCCTCTATGGCTTCTGTGTGGGGAGGGTTTAGCAGGTATGGTGGACATGAAAGTCACCAATCAGTATAATAAAATGTTCTATATATACAAAAGAAATCCAGAGTAAGCAGTCCAGGACTGAATGTGGTGGCATCACCATTATCAATCTTAAAGCTCTCACCCATGGTTGCCACTTCTTGATTAAAACCATTTGCAACTCCATACCAGAACAAAAGACAAATCAAGTTTCATCCTCTTTGTGGACACTCCTAGTACAAGCACATGAGACGTCTACATGTATTGCTTTGGTCAGAATTTAGTTGTATAGATAAGCTTTGGTATAAAGGAAGCTGAGACATTGCTCTGTATTTAATTAGGTGCTTAGTTAAAATTTGAACGTCTATAACTAAACAAGGACTACAAAAGAAATTGCTGGCAACCAGGAATCCCTGTCAGAGGGACAAAACTGAATCTCTGTTCACATCTTTCCTTGGCCTCGTTTGATCAAGTCCTAATGTACACACCCTCTCTTGTGATTCACTGATACTAGTATAAACAAGGCCGCAGGGCAACTAGTTCCCAAGCCAGCTAGGTCCCTAGCACACACCACTGAAGAGTTGAAAACCTCCATGTACGAAGAGAATGATCCATGATGACCTCCACAATCTGTGGTGCCAGGATGAACTTTCATTCAAAAACATTGCTAAGCGTATTGGCTGGTTTGTTTATTGGGATTAATCCTACCAAATTGTCACTTCTGATCTTTAGTGACAAAGGCTTTTTTCTTCCTTTATATTCTTTCTTCTTAGAATTATTCAGTTGTTTTTTTTTTTGTACCAGAGAAGAAAACTTCTTGCAGAATTTGATGTCAGTTCACTCTAGCTGACTCATGTTATTTTAATTCTGGAATGCGTGGGAAATTGGAAATCTGCTATAGAGCAATGGGAGATCTTATATTGATTTACTCAAAACTGTTCTTTCATCTGTATAAAATAAGATATTAAGACTGAAAGGCATGAAATTAAGTTTTTTTTAAGTGTCCTAAAAATTAGAATTCCTTTCCCTTTCTAGGGCACTGGAACAGATGAAGATACCTTGATTGAAATCTTAACTACTAGGACAAGCAGGCAAATAAAGGAGATCTCGCAAGCCTATTATACAGGTAATCCCATTTTCTGCTTACCTTTACAACTATCCACACACATATGAGCCAAATAGATGTTCTCAGCATTCTTCCAATTTCTTCACAAGACATTTCAAAAAAGCAAGAGTTACAAGAAAAGGTTGCATTCTAAATGGCATGTGGCTTTTTGGAGAAAATTAGGATGTGATCTGAGCCAGAAATTACAGCTACTATGGATTTGCTCTCAGCAATTGCTTAATTGAATCAACCATTTTAATCACTATAAGAGACTCAAATCATTGTGTACTACTATATGTTAAAAACCACTTAAAGTAAACTTGTGATTTTTTAGCATGTGAAATTAGATGAGATATTCAAGAGGTGTGGTGAACAAGTGAATTCAATGTAATTAGCTGAAGTCCTAAAGGTCTGTTAGATGTGTAAAAATCATAAAGTCCTTACAATGCTCTTCTGACTCTACCCAGTGTGACTTCACTTGTTAATTATAGTCTTCATCAGACTGCTCTTATTTTAGACACCAGTCCACAAGTTCACTTGTTTCCAGGCCGCACATGTGGTTAACCAATTGATTACAAATCCCAGGGTTTGGCTGCCCTCTCATGTTCAATGGTCGAGTGGAATGACTTGCAGAATTCACCATAGTGCTGTACTTGCAAATATAGTTCTATTATGAAGGATATCAGTCAGGGTCAACCAATGAAGACATAGGTCTGGGAAAGTTCAAGTCAAATCTGAAGTTTCTGGTCACATGGGTGTATTACTAGGCAGGAAACACACACAATCGCTGCTATCCATACTTTTTATTGGGTTTCAGTCTACAGACACGATTAATTGAATCCTTGTCCATGTGGCTGAATTTAGTCTGCAGTGATCCCCATCCCCAGAGATCTAGTCTTTCTGAGGTAACTGCCCTGGATTCTAAGATATGTTGTTAACATAAACTCAGAAAAATATCACAAATATGAAAGACTAGCTAGATGCTGATGGCTCCTGCCTATAATCCTAGCTAGTCAGGAGGTTGAGATCTGAGAACTGTGGTTCAAAGCCAGCCTGGGCAGGAAAGTCCAGAAGCAGAACTGTAGCTCAAAGTAGTAAAGCACTAACCTTGAGTGAAAGAGATCAGGGACATTACCCAGGGCCTGAGTTCAAGCACGAAGCCCCATGACCAACTAACTAACTAATTAACTAACTAACTAACAACAATAACAACAACAAAAACCTTGGAAAATTCTAAGGATTTCCTCTATAGATCAAGGGAAAAAAATACCAGCTCAATTCTTTAATAGAAAATAGCCTTTTATTACTCTTGCAAGGTTCCTTAAGGGATCTATGGTTTCTAAATTTGTGTCCCTAGAAGTCAATTTTGCATACGATAGCTTTTGTAGTAGAAGAGGCCCAAAGAAAGAGTCTGCTGGGCTCCAGATGGGTATTTGAGAAGATAATTTGGGAAATTCTCATTAAAAAGTAAATACCTATTAATGAAAGTCACTATTTTGTTATTGCTACACTCATGATCTAGTAAAAAAAAAATAGAAACAGCACTAGGTTTTTTAATGGAGAGAATTTAATATAGTGAATTGCTTCAATTATATTTGGGGGCCTAAAAAGACAAAAACAGAACAGAGGGATAATAGAGCATCTAAACCCCTAGGGCTGAGACAATAAAGGGATTATCTGAAAGTACAAAGTGGAGAAGACAGACCTACCTGCCTGGTATTGGTACCTAAGTGGCTCAGAGGAGAGGATCTAGGAGTAGTTGAGACCTCTGTGAAGGGGCCTCCATCTGGCTGGGGCTGGCCACCTCCATGGTACTGCAAGAAACTTGTTCTAGAAAATAATAGATGCTACCAGGGTAAAAGCTCTCTGATTTGACACTGAGATGTGTACTAGGCTAATAGCATACCCTTCTTTCCTCCTCCTGCCCTCCATTCTCCTGCCTCTCTCCCATTGGTGGAATCTAACTTGAAGTGGGTGAATTTGGAAAGAATGAGAGAATTGCTTAGTAATAGATACAAGTGAGTTTATTGTTGGTTTATAAAACATCTGCCCTATATTATTCACACACACACACACAACACACACACACACAGAGGCCCAACACATAAATCATCAGAGCAGAAGCTCTGTCCCAAAGGAGATTGTTATTTTGTTATTTCCTGGTATCTTTTAGAACCTTGATGCTCCATGAGAGGACCTACAATCTTAGGACATAAGGTCTGTGAGGGTGGGAAGTTTTGTCTCTTTCACTCTCTGTGGCATTCTTAGTGCTCAGACCACTGGAGAATTAAGTTCAACTATTTATGAGTGAATGTTTTCAAGTTGAAATTGAGGTCTGAATAGCTAAGTGAAAGTTCGAAGATTTAGGACTGGCTTTTGCAAATATGATGCATGATAATGGCTTGAAGTTTCCAATGCCTCAATTTCTATACATATAAAGCTTTTTAAGGCTACAAGGAGTAGAATTACATCTAGGTTACCCTGATGAGTAGATGTTCGAGGTGCACAGGAGGCTCAAGAAGAAATAACATCAATTAGGTAGAGTTAAGCTTTACAGAGAATTGGGACACAGTCCTACTTTGGGTACTCATTTATCTTGTCACTATCTCAGCATCAGGTATTTATCCCTCCTGTTCCCCTCACTGTTTGCTTCTGATGTTCTTGACACTACTGAGAAGCTGTTCTTCTTTACCAAATTATGGTGGGTTTTTTTTCACTACCCAAGGCTTATATTTGTGCATGGTGGTTGGTTCCTTTTAGTGTCTTTTTCTGAGGAATTTTTAGCATCTTTGTTCCGGCCCCCTTCTCTCTGTAGTTTACTTCCTGAGAGAGAGGATTCAGTGGGTTCAAGAAATCACTGTCTAAATAGATAGTGTTAATTTAGGCAAAGTTCGCGCACCAGGCCATCTCTTAGCTGCTGGCCACTGCTATTCCTGTATGAACTCTGTTGCATCAGCTGAGGCAAGAATGATGGTGTTCTACTTGTGAAATATTGACCCACTTACAAGAATCCACTAAGGGAGACGATCAACCTAGCTCTCCTAGAAGAGAACAAGGATCTTATGTGTTTTATCCATACCATGTGGGGCATTACAGTTGAAATTGATTACAAGCTAAATACTCAGCTTTCTCCCAAGTTCCAGAGCTAATGATGTGTGAATAGAACAGTGAATCAGGGATCAACAGCTCTAATGTGACAAAATCATATTTATTTTTTCTGTTCTCTATTATACCTCAGAATGCATAAATTAGTTGTGAATTTGAATTGAGAAAGTTTTCTTTCTTGTTTTGAATTTTTTTCTTATTGTCATTTAACACTTAGTAATTGTACACATTGATGTGTACTGTACATTCACATATCTGCACAGATGATGCATTAATCACATTCGCCATCCATTCAACTCTTTCCATTTGCATTTTATTAGTCTAATATTCTTGGGGCTGGGAAGGTGGCTCAGTGGTAGAGTGCTTGCCTTGCATGCATGAAGCCCTAGGTTTGATTCCTCAACACCACATAAGCAAAAAAACCCAGAAGTGGTGTTGTGGCTCAAGTAGTAGAGCGCTAGCCTTGAGCTGAAGAGCTGAAGAATGGTGCCCAGGCCGAGTTCAGGCCCCACTACTGACAGAAAAAAAAAAGAAATATTTTGCAAAATATCTGAAGTGAAGAGATGCTAGGAAAATTGCATATCAAAGCTAGATAATTCTAAAATCACAAAATACTTGTCCAAATTCTAAAAATTAAAAGAGATAGCTTTTTTGGGGGGGTCCAGTCGTGGGGCCTGAACTCTGGGCCTGGGCACTGTCCCTCAGCTCTTCAGCTCAAGGCTAGCACTCTACCACTTGAGCCACAGCGCCACTTCCGGCTTTTTTCTTTTTGATTATGTGGTGCTGAGGAATCAAACCCAGGACCTCTGGCATGCAAGGCAAGCGCTCTACCACTGAGCCACCTTCCCAGCCCTAAAAGAGATAGCTTTATTCTTTGTCTTGGTGTTTAAAAGATTTTTTTTTCCTAAAGCATGAAAGAGACAATAATATGACTGGGTATTAATGTTGCTCTTCAATTGTCATCATTAGGATAAATAATTTATACTTGCAGTTGATTTAATTTACATGAATTGCTTTGAGAAATTATGAATTTCATTTACAAAAGAGCCTTAGGTTGATGTTGTGGCTCAGATGTAGAGGGCCAGCCAATGAGTGAAAGCATCAGATACCAAGTTGGAGTTCCTGGTCTTGGGGAGAATAAAGAGGCTTAGTAAAATTATGGTGAGTAAAATTTCATTCCAACCCGATACTGGCTAGTGGATAATCTCCTATCACTCTCCCTAATTGAACATTTGCATAGTTAACTTATATAGAGGTTTTGAAAATAATGCAGAGTTCAAATACTCACCTACGTCCGCCACAGTACCTACAAGGACATCCCCTGCTCCACAGGTGAAGCAGGGGATGATGGGCAGGACCTGGAGTATAGATTTGTAGCACAGTTCTTGCCTAACATCTCCAGCACTGAAAATGAAATGAAATATGAAATGAAATGATAGAAGACACTGTAGATCACAATCCATGAAACAGGATGGTACAAAAATGTGTGAATGTACAGCACCACATTTTAAAATTTTTTTATCTTTTATCATTTTTGAAAATATTCAGTGGTATGACCTAGATGTATCTGTTAAAATTAAGGTTAGTTTAAGAAGGTAGGACAATAACAATGGCTTACAGAAAATAGAGGTTTATTTCAATTATATCTAGGGAAAAACCTGGAGCTGGCCAGTTCTGAATAGTCCTCAAGACTTTCAGGAACTTAGCTCTCTTCTTGGTGGCTTTTTTTCCTTTCTTGCCATTGCTGAGAGACATAGGTGGCTGTAACTGGTGGCTTCAGGTCTCGGTTTACATACAAGGCAGTAGAATCAAGGAAACACTAATCTGGGCACAGTTCCCTTCATCCTTTTAAGGAGATTTTCTAGCCAAATCATGTATGTCGGCTTACATTCCATTGTGAAGAGCTAATTATGAAGCTGTGTCTCACTAAGAGGAAAGATGAGAATGAAATTTGTAGTTTGTTTGCATGACTTTCCTAATGGTTTGGGTTCTATTAAGGTGAAAAAAGGAAATAATTGAAACTGGAAGGCAGACTAGCAGTTTGCCCACCCTCTTAGTTGTTGTCAGATGAAATGAATCATGATTCAGTCCAGAATGGCAATCTTCCCATTCTTTGCAGCAATCATAACACACAGCACAGGTATCAGTACATGAGATTGTTTCTATCTCTTCATAGCAGAACAACTGGGAGTTAAATAAAAGGGCAGGTTCTCTTTATCACTTACTCATTGTTTGCTAGTGTTGACATTTAAACTTTAGTCTCGTTTATAACAATATGTTTTAGTTGCCAAGGCTTAATTTTATTCTTCTTTGGTTTTAGTATTCAAGAAGAGTCTTGGAGATGATATTAGTTCTGAGACATCTGGTGACTTCCGGAAAGCTCTGTTGACTTTGGCACATGTAAGGTCTTATCTTTTATGTTTAATTCCCTAATAAGACGCATGCTCAGTAATAATTTTTACAGAGTTTAAAGAAATACCCTGAGATAACAAGATTAATATTTTCTTATAAAGTGATTTGTTTATGTTCAACTGCATCAGTGAAATGTTTAATGAAGATAATAAAAGCAGGCATAGCGATTTAACAAAAAAGAAAATCTGGATTAAAATATGGATTAAAGTTTTTTAATTAGTTTTCACAATACATTAGGAAGAATTCTGATAATCTGAGATAAGGTAATTACTTGTTCACTTTCACTTCTGGAACATACTTATTTTCTTCTGGACTCGAAAGGATTTTTATTTCTTTTCAACTAAGTGGGAAGTATGATACAGAACAATTCTTTTCAGAAATGAGCATGTAATTTAAAAATGAGTATCAGTTTCAAAATTACCAAAAAAGAGAAATAAAAGAATGGACGGGGAGGAGGAAAGGAAGGAGGAAGGAAGAGAGGGGGGGAGGGAACTAAGTTTTATTTTTGTCACCTTGCAAAAGCTGTCAACCACTTATCACTGTGTGACCAGATGAAGCCACTCCTTGCTTGCTTTATTTAGAAGGCTCATGAGTTTGATAAGGTAAAGGTAATATGTGCAGAGAGGAAGTGAATTATTCTATATCTCACAGACTTTTCCCAGCTGATTTACACAGCCCTTAACGTCTGAGAAAAATCTCAGTAATGATTTGCCCCTGACGTTTTTTGAAACAGCACTCATCAAAATAAGGTGCTTTGCCATAAGGAAATAACTCATTCTAATTTTGGTTGTTTTAAATGCTCAGACCTTTATGAAGTCGAACCCATAAATCCAAATTCATAAAACATTGCTGTAAATAAACATGGTCTCAGACTTCCAGTCATTATGCAAGCACATGGAGAGGCAAAACAGCTCAGTTACCCATAGGAGGCAGTAGAGAGCACAGCTCCTAGCAAGGGTTTTAGAAAAAAAAAAATAGGGCAGAACTCAGATGCTGCCTCCTTGCATCCTATATCCAAATGAGTTACTTTAATCTTAAGCACTCATTTTCATATCAGAGAAACTAAAACACCGATAGTACCAAACCCTCAGGGTGCTTTGCAGATTAAGAGGAAATGTAGAATACTTAATGCCTAAAAGTAAAAGATACATGGTGGTAGTAGATAATTAAGGCTGATGATAATCAACACTGGCATTAATGGAGCAGAACCCACAATAGGAGAAGATATCACAAACACCTTGTACAATTAATATACATTAATAAGAATTTTCTTTTTTAAAAAAAGTAAGAGGGCTAGGAAGGTGGCTCAGTGGTAGAGCGCTTGCCTTGCATGCATGAGGCCCTGGGTTCGATTCTTCAGCACCACATAAGCAAAAAGCCAGAAGTGGCGCTGTGGCTCAAGTGGTAGAGTACTAGCCTTGAGCTGAAGAGCTGAGGGACAACGCCCAGGTCCCATGACCATTCCAAAAAAAAAAAAGTCAAATGAGAGCAGAAACCCAGAATTCAAGTCCCCACCCCCACCCCCCAAAAAAAGCACAAAAAAATAAATAAATAAAAAAGTAAGAGAATGTAAGGAAATCAAATTAATAGTACCTGAGGTCAGCAGCCTAGAAAAGAGGCACTGGCATATAAGGACTTAGCATAAGAAATTAAAAGTAAATCTAGTTTAAACCTCAGAGCCCAATATTTTGTTCACTTCAAAGTAATTCAGGCATTTCTCTCTCTGTAACATGAAGTAATAGTGTGCATTGGTGTGATAATATTTGTTTAATGAACACTAGTACCCTGATGTTAACTAGTCTGTAGTTGAATGTGGGAGTTCACTCTGTGTTGTACAGGTTTTGAGAAATGTAAGTCTGGGCTCTGTCCATACCTTCCTCCTCTTCTCCCTTGAATACCACTGATCTTTTCACTGTCTCTATAATTCTGCCTTTTCTATAATGTACTATGACTTTCAGACCAGTTACTTTTACTTAGCTAGATGCCTTTAAGGTTCTGCCATATTATTCTATAGCTGCATAGTTCATCCCTTTTATCCTCACATAGTATTCCATTGGAGGAAATATTCGTTTCATTCAAGAGCTCTTGATTGCTTCCAATTTAGAATAGTTATGACTAAAACTTCTCTTAAATGTTTATGCACAAGGTGTATTTCTTTCTTTCTTTATATATTTATATTTGTGCCTTTTCTCTCAAAGCTGTGTCCTGCTACTTTGGCTATACCTCCACTTTCTGCTTTTTGCTGTTTCATTAGAGATAAGAGTCTCACAGATTTTTCTGCCCCAGCTGGCTTTGAATCTCAAACCTCAGATCTCAGCAATTGGCCATGTGCATGTTTTTAAATGTACATGCTTCCAACTCATTTGGGTAAATGTCAGTCCTGCTAACCATCTTCCAAAGCAGCTATACAATTATGCATTTCCACTGGCATTGACAATAGGAGTTTCTGCTGTTCCATGCCCTCTTCAGTATTTGGTCCTGTCAATGTTTTGTTTTTTTTCTTCAGTCATTATGGCTTTGATGCCAGGGATTGAAAGCAAAACCTACATGCAAGTGCTCTACCCCCAGCCTAGGTGTGGCCAGTGTTTTGAAGTTTAGCCATTCTACTAGATATGGAGCGAAATCTTATTTGTAAAATTTATAATTCTCTAATGACATATGATATTAAACATCTATTTATGTGCTTTCTTGGTGTCTGTGCATCTCTTTGGTGAGCTGCCTTCTCAGATCTTTTAGTCAGTGTTTAAATGGGTGGTTATGTTATTGAGTTTCAAGAATTGTTGATAGATTTTGGTTTGAAGTGCGTTACCAGAAAAGTCTTGTAAATATTTCCTCAGGCTGTGGCTTACCTTTTCATTTGAATACCTTTGGGTTTTTCAGAGAAGATTGTGTGATTTGGTACAGATGTCATGACTAGTTAACAGCAGAGCCAGAACTGAAGCTTAGAAGGTTCCCGATTCCTCTCTGCCACATAATTTCTACTAGAGAAAAATCAGGACACACTGCTTGATGGAAAGTTGAGAATTAATTATCTGTGCTAAAAAAACAATGACCTTGTTGTTATCCTCTCTGCTTAGGGAAGACGAGATGAAAGTCTGAAGGTGGATGAACATCTGGCCAAAAAAGATGCCCAGGTCAGTAAGTGAACAAAGAAGACCTCCCTTTTAACTCCCCTCCATCTTCATGGCTTTTGTTTTTCTGTGGAAAGGGAGCAAGATGGCACCCCATGGGGCGGTCATCTCCTTTCCTGTTTTGAGGGCAGAAGCCTGGAGCTAGGCTCTCACCAGCCCTGCCTCTAAGTCTTCAGGATGTTGAGCATTCCCTTGGCTGCTGCTACCCCAGCCTTCAGATTTTGAGTCTACTCAAACTGAGAAATGTAGACAGCGCATCATCTCCCTGATCTCTAAAACAAAGCTCCAACTCTTTTCAGCCTGTGCCTCAAAAAGAGAAAGCTTTATGTCTGTGATGGCAGGAATGTCTTCTTGCCTTTTTCCTGTCCACAGGTCCTCTATAATGCTGGCGAGAATAAATGGGGCACCGATGAAGATCAGTTCACCGAGATCCTGTGTTTAAGGAGCTTTCCTCAACTGAAACTAAGTATGAACTTAGATCCTTCTTGTTTTATGTTGCTTTTTCAAATGTTCCCTATCTAGGGAACCCAAGAAATTAAAGATTCTAAAGTCTGTTCATTATGTAGAAGTACTTCAGGAAATCACACGGGGAAGGGGTATTCTAACTCCAGCAATACTGACCACTCTCTTGTTTTCCCCCAAGGACTAAATTGATTGCTTAGACTAAGAATAAGTAGTAAACAGGGAGGGAGACAGCAGGAAGGACCAAGGGAGCAGGGAGAGAGCAGAAAGACCCACGGCTATGTGAAACTAGCACAATGGTTCCCACCCCACCACTTCCTAGTTAGTCACTTTCCAGAAAAGCCAGGCATTCAATTCAGGTGAGTTTTTGTGGGTTGATTGGTGGTTAGCTTTTCCTGATTTGAAAGCAAATAAGGGAATGGGGAAGAGTAGCTATTCTTTGTCAGATGGAACGGCTAATCATATGCCACTGCTAATCATTTACCCTGTCACTCATGCCTCAGCCCTCGCCAGCTTGGAAGCAATAAGACCTGGGAGCCCACAGCAGCTGACTGTGACTTCCAGGTGCTGACTAGAGAACAGCCACAGTGCATGACTTATTTTTAGGATGAGCCCATGGGGAAATAAGGAAACAAAGACTATGATTTTAATTCCATAAAGGTCTTTCCTTAATTTTGGCCTTACTGGATTTTTTAAAATAAAATAATGGTAATATATTGCAGTTGCTTTATTAATGTCTTTGATCAAATAATCCTAGATTGCTACACAAAACATCTTTTTTCCCCAGAAATTTATTTAAGAAAAAAAATGACTTGACTTATGAAAAGTTTCCGTAGCTCACATGATAACCTATGTTCAGGTTTTGCTTGGGATAAATGCTGACAAGAAGTTCACATGAGCCATTCCTGGGCTCACGCCTGTAATCCTAGCTATTCAGGGGGCTCAGATCAGATGATTGTAGTTGGAAGCCACCTGGAAAGGAAAGTCGCACGGGCTTATCTCCAATTAACCACCAAAGAAGCTGAAATCAAGTGGTAGAACACTGACCTTGAGTGGAAAAGCTAAGGACAATGCTCAGAATCTGAGTTCAAGCCCCAATACTGGTGGATACACATAAAAATATTCCAACCGCTTCTGGGAGATGTGAGGTAGACTATACTGGAGTAGAGAATGATCATCTGAATGGGGCTAGGAAGGTGGCTCAGTGGTAGAGTGCTTGCCTTGCATGCATGAGGCCCTGGGTTCGATTCCTCAGCACCACATAAGAAAAAAGACCCCCCCCCAAAAAAAGAGAATGATCGTCTGAGCGCCCCCCAAATCCTCATAATTAAGATTTCTTCATCAGATATTTCTCCAGCAGATTTCTTCAGCAGATATATTTTGATAAATGATGACAGTATTTTTTTGTTTTTTTTTAATATAGGGCATCTTACTGGATAAATTATGTATTACTTAAACTTTCAAGTTATTTTAAATGCTTCAGTCTTGGGGAAACAAAGAGAGATCATTGAAGACAATGGTCTATGAAGTTCAGGTTTTACTGTGCTTAAATTGTAATAGTTTAAAGGAGGTTTTGAGTTTGCTAATTCATCTGCTCTATCTCAAATAAGAAATCATGAAATATATTCAAGCATGGTCAATTGGGATGCTTTAAAATTTTTTGTGGTGCTACTTTTTAGCATTTGATGAATACAGAAATATTAGCCAGAAGGACATTGAAGACAGCATCAAAGGAGAATTATCTGGGCATTTTGAAGACTTACTGCTGGCCATAGGTAAGCTCTTGAATGCTAATACATGGGGCTACTTTGCACATCTTTTAGCTTACTGTCAAGGTGAGCTCTTCCATCCCCCAGCACAGGCCACAGATAACTTTCTACCTCTTACATTGCCTTTTAAATCTGCATTTGCCTTGTTGCCATGTTTACATTATAGACTCCTTGAGAGTTGAGATATTACATTTTAATGTCATTCTTACTGAAATTTGAGGCTTCAGCCAATATGGTGTTTCATCTTATTTGGTTATTTCTGGAAGATGTCAGTGGCTGCCGTCAGAACTGCAGGTCTCATCCTTCTTGGTTGAGAGAGCCAGGAGGAGGAGGAGGAGGAGGGGGAGGGGGAGGGGGAGGGGAGAGGGAGGG